AATTTAGCAAATAATCCTTTGTTGCAAAATAATAAAACCAAAATTACATACCATGAAGTCCCTCTTTGGGAATGGATCGCTAAATTCTTTATTATGTATAGTGAATGATAAACATACTGCGTGAAAATTTTCTAGGCAACTTTACATGTTGTGACCTTTTGTTCATTGCGAATGTACTTTACAATGCGAACTCCCTTGTGACTTCTGTGGTTGGTCCAGGATGGTGGCCATTAATTGTTGACACAAAACGGTTAAAGGTGGAGTGAAGTTATCCATATTTTAGGACGAGATTAAAGTATTGGTATTGAGTTCTCGATCGCGAGATTTAAAGAGCTTTCGTTCCAAAGAGTGTGAAAGAGTGTGGGTGAAAACTTAATAACAAGTCATGACTATTACTTAATCATTTTTGCAAAGTCGATGAAAAGAAAAAAAAATGACCAATTTTGAAATAGTAATTCTCCAATCAATGCAGTTTCATTTCGCTAAGTTTTTTAGCGTTATAATGGCAAGAAATCATACAAGATATTTTATTTATTTACAGTATTTTATTTTTTATCGTAATTTACGATAATAAGAGATACTTTTTATGGTCTTTATACTACGGTTAGGTCTAAGTTAACTACTTTTTTTTTTTTTTATAAAACTTTCTTTATGTAAACATCAGATTTTTGTCAATATTCAAAACCACATCATTGTCCTTCACAAAATTTTTCCACTTCACGTGACATTATTTAATTTGTCCTCTGAGTCACGCCCTACCGCATTTCATTTTTAATTTTTACTGGGACATTCAATCACATGGTTAATTTCTTAATGCCGTAATGCGGTCTAAACTCACGTGGGTGGCTCATCTGACTTCGCAAATAGTATGTTACACACCATGCATGGCATGGTTACTTGATATATTTATATGTAACGTCGCGTGTTGTGGTGTTGTGCTCATAAGCAAGTTCTTTCCTATTTCTAACTCGATAAATATGTCGAAAAAAGAGCTTACCAAGCCGACCGTAAATTGGGCTGAAGTAGATAAGTGGATAGCTGAAGGAAAACCATTTGAAGAACACGATGAAATCTTATTGTTTTTAAACCAAGAGAAGAAATCTGAAAATGACCTTAACACAGTACCAAATGGCAAGTTACTAATTTATGTTTTCTACAACTACATATGTTGTATATGTTTGATCAATAAAAGTCGAACGTTTGATTCTTTTTTAAGGAGCCGGACGATATAAAACTGACAGAAGCAGAAAACCAACAAATGGAAGAACTTCTAACGATAGTGCCAGGAAGACGGATAGAAAGACCAGGAAAGAAAGCCATCTTACATCTACCACAAAAAGAACCAAAACCCCCGTTAGTAACGACAGTAAACATTGTAGTGAAGCTCCTGGACCAAGACATGTTTCCGATCCTCTCAGGCTACACTA